ATAACTTAGATCCTTCTGTACGGAACCTCGTCGAGCGTCTGCTACCTCTAGGTACCTATTACACCGGGATATCGGCCTTTATCGAGCATCGTAGCCATTTGGATTATGGCCTGGTCAATCATGCACTCTGTGCAGCAATACGAGATATGCTCAAAGTGTGGATTTCTCCCGTTGTCTGTTTCATGCTCGGGCTTGATGTTTATCCTTTTGTGGCAGGATTATCAAACCCTACTCTCACAACTCGAGCACTCGTTCAACTTCTCCCCTCAATTCTCACTCCAGAAACTGTGGTTCTACGTTCACCCTACCGTTCATACCCTTTCCTTGATCTACCAACTCACCCTCGAACTCGGCACAGCCGATGATCCATCTGCAGATCTCTCTTCATCTTCCTCCAACAGCCCAAGCACATCAGACGCAGAGGAAGAAGCTCGGAACGAGGCGCTTGGGATAGGATCTGCGAAACTCAAGTCTGTTTTATCAGAGAACGGACTTGGAACGTCCAGTGCTGGGATAGCTGTCAAAGGCGGCGAAGTCTTGTCGATAATCTACGAGCGGATGCAGAATATGTCGGGCGATCCGACAGCGAATTTAGTGTACGCTACACTCCTACGGGAAGCTGGAACGCCATATGTCACTATGCTCAAAGAATGGGTCATGACAGGGAGGCTCGTGGATCCTTATGAAGAGTTGATGGTCAAAGAGAGTAAATTTATCAATCGGGGAATATTAGAGATGGATTATACTGATGAGTATTGGGAGCGACGGTATACGGTGTGTAGCGCAATACTCCATCTACCATCAACCTCTCATAATTGATTTATTAGCTCCGCGACGGTTCTACACTATCTGGGTCAAAAGCACACAAAGCAGGAATACCCTTACCACGTTCTGGTGGTGGACGACTGCCCGGTGGGGCTTGTATTCCTCCACTTTTGGAAGGCTGGAAACATAAGATTTTACTGGCGGGCAAATACTTGAACGTTATACGAGAATGCGGAATCGAAATACACCGGTCACAGAATCATTCTGACGACGAAAAGTTTTCTATGAACGACGAGAGGTGAAATTTATTCTGCTAAATCAAATTTGTGCTTACTCCTTCACTCGAAAGATTCTATACATTTCTTGAAGACGCCTACACACACGCAAACCAAACTCTCCTCCAGCTCCTTCTCAAAGACCAAGATCTTATACCACGACTTCGTTCTTTGAAACGCTACTTCTTCCTATCCCAATCCTTCTTCCTCACGCATTTTCTCGATCTCTCTTCAAACGAACTCCGGAAATCCACGCGCTCTGCATCGCTGGTCAAACTGCAGAGTCTACTCGAACTCACGTTAAACACGGAGGAAAGGGAAGACACGATGTTCCGCGAGGATGTCAAAGTTGTCATGGCGGGGAGTGGGCTGTATGATTGGTTGATGAAGATCATCAGTACGGGCGGGATAGGGAGTGAGAGGGTGGGAGAGAATGAGGTTGGGAATGAGGAGGCGAAGAAGGAACAGAAAGATGATAAGAAACCGTTATTGGGTAAATGGACCAGCGCTTTTCTGCCTCTAACCTTCTCTTCTTATCATTTGCCTCTTAGCATCTGACACCCTCGCTCTCGATTATCATGTCAAGTTTCCTCTCTCACTAGTCATCTCACGGAAAACGATCCTCCGTTATCAGCTCATCTTCCGCTTCCTCCTCCACCTCAAGCACGTCGAACAATCCCTCGGAATAATGTGGATCGAGCAAAAGACCACGCCGTGGCGACAACGCGTACATCAAAGCTCCAAAATTAACTCGAACCCTTCATCTAATACCGACGCCAATCTAGCCAAATCCTCCGACCCTGAATTCGAAAAATGGCGTCTACGAGTCTTCCTCCTCCGCGCGCGGATGCTCGCATTCATACAACAGATTCTATCGTTCGCTACGTTTGAGGTGCTCGAACCGAATTGGCGGGCGTTGGAGGTCAAACTGGATAAGGTAACAACAGTAGACCAACTGTTGAGGGATCATTTAGATTTTTTGGATACGTGTTTGAAAGAATGCATGTTGACTAGTGCAAAACTGTTGAAGGTTCCTTTCTTTTTTCTTATACCGACCCTGCTTCTTCATTTAAACCAAAAACAATTTTCTTTAATTTCAGGCTTATAACAAGCTCATCGTAACCTGCGCAACGTTCGCTTTGTACGCTGCACCATACACTAAATCCGCTATCCAGGCAATATCCGAGACAGAGACAGCTGAAGGTCAACGACGAAGATGGGAGTATCAGTTGAAGTTCGAGAAGAATTTTGATCATTGGTATGTGCTCATCCATGCTTATTCTTTGGTTCCTCTCATGCATTCATCTCAGGTTCAAAGTCTTTCTGGATTGCGTCCAGTTCTATGCTTCAAGCGAAAATGGATCTCTTCTCCCTCTCGTTGTTCGTCTCTCAAGTATTTTGAAGAGGAGTTCGTAGGATATAATCGTAGTTTATGGGACTGCTATATAGTAATACCCAATTGCCCCCCAGAACGCGCACAATTGTGCAAGCAGTTGTAGTGAGCAAATCAGTATAGATAAGTATCTGTTAAGTACGGTTGCGGGTAAGTTTCAAGTTGTGCCTTCAACATAACTAGCAGCCTCCTCCTAAAATGTTGAGTGGTTTGTACATCTCACAGTTGAATGCAGTACAAGTTACCGCCCTATTTTCTGAGCATCTACTTTGAAGTATACATCACAAATCAATCATATTCAGAAACCCTTTAACGTAGAAGATCACAGGTCAAGGATGATGGTTCAGTTTGAAAGACGGTGCAGTATTACCTAGCAACTGATTTTATACATACAGGTTGGGAGTCTACGGATAGGTCGAAGAATGAGTAGAAGAAACAACATACAAAAAAATACATATGAAAGCAGATTCAAGCAAAACTTCTTGCAACACATACATTCGTCAAACTCTCTTCTCCTCGACCAAGGTCAACATGGTAACACTTGATTGAGTTGTCATCACACTTGAGCGGCTCATCACAGACTGGCTCCTCAGCAAAGCAACTCGTTCACGCATATCAGCATCTTTCTCCGGCACTGTTGGTGGTGCACGAGCATGATTCTTTTTGCTTGAAGTTACAGAACGACGAAGGTTATGTACAACACCTTGCATCTTCGGCATTGTCGACCTCCTCGCGGCTTCGATGAACCGTGAACGAGGTGAGAGTGAGAACAAGCTTTCAGAAGAATCTGAGTTCGACGACGTAGGCGAGTAAGAACCAGCGGAGGCTATAGCTTGTGGGGGTAGTATGTCATGAAATGACTTTGGAGCAGGAAGGTTGGAAGTAGAGATTTGGGGCCTTTTGTGTTCATGTTCTATCAAGAAGGAAGCAGATAGGATCAATAAGTAATTCGTGTATACTGTCGAACCTACCGCCATCATTGTACCTCCAAGCCTCTGCCTTTCCGTCTGAAACGGGAATCAACTTGCCGTATGATTCTCCAGGGGCGGACCTATACAGAGCCCCATTTCGATCCTTGAATGTGTACTGCTCAGTATCAGCATCGTATGCGATACGCTGGAAACCTTCTGGAAGGCGAGAAGCATCCTGTGTAGGTAAGTAGAAATTATGAGGATTGACATAGGGGGGATAGTGGATGTCATTGACATGTCAGGAGAGAGATATTGAAGAACGACAGACCTCTGCATATTGTGTGAAACGACTCATACTCTAAAATCCACAACCAAGCTTGAATCTTTCTAAATTCACAACGGACAAATACACTGTCTTCTGACTGAGTGGTGTCGCGGAGACTTGAAAAACACGGCACTTCTGTCAAAGAAGAGGATGTGAATAGTGGATAGTAGGTAATATTTGTGTGAGTGGAATGCTGGTAGAGTTATAGCAGCAGACGAGCAAAGCGCAGCTGGTAGTCTAAGAAATTGGGGATCCTTAAATATATACTGCGCACGGACCCTGGCGACGCCGATTCTATCGTCCGAGGGGTCATACAGTAAACTTTTCTCAGTTCTTGAACTATTCGTCCGTTCTAGGTGGAAGGTTCTCATCTTCTGAGATTCAAGTCCTATTCGTGTATATCAAGGTGTTTTTCGCTGGTCTAATTAAGATACTGGACAATCTTATCCCTTGCACTTAGCATAATAAATTCTGGCAATTCTGCCCTTTCAGATTTATGCACAGGATAGTGGTATAGAAATATCGGCTCCTCTAAGGCGCTCTCAACCGTTTACGAGCTGTCATTGCACTGAATTCCTATCGACGGTATAAGATGCCCGCGTTCAAATCGCATACGATAAACCTCAATGAAACCCGCATTGATTGCGGTCAGGCGTGGAATCCTTCAGTATTGTATCACGGTACGAATCAGAATGTCACTGCCGCACAGTTCAACAGTATCATATCAACCAACAACCTTCCATCAACGATCGCGGTGCGGATGCTGTATTGAATCAGTGATGAATATTCGGCCTCTAACACAAGCGTTCAAATACCGAGCATACATTGAAATCCAGGGATAGATATTCGGCATGGCTGGGGAGTCTGCTGTATGAACTAGTGAGCAGATATTCCAATGGAGAATCTGACTATTACCGCAATGTCTTCTAGGATCTGCTTTGATGCCGGAGTTCGACGAGAAGGAATCTCTCTCTAACAAGAAAACTCGCCCTTTCGAGTCTGTGTATATACTGAACCTGAGTTCATTGTGCACAGGGTTGTCTATCAAAGAGTCGGACCAAGGTCAACGGGTCAACATCAGTACTAGCAATGAGTATGGCTTATACTCCATCAACCTCTGTCCACTGGGTGACATCAACATCAACCCAACCTTTTCTGCTCTGTCTTCCAGCTGACCACACGTTGACTGTCAAAGTCGCCTGCAGTACCCTGGTCCTAAACAGTCCTGTTTCCGTTTTGTTAGACGAAACAAACACCGGTTCACCATCGCTGTCCCTCATTGTTTGAGATGTTTTAATGTGTTGGAGGATATTATACTATGTCTGTTATATTCCCTGGTAGTATATCGGTTTAGTACACGCGCCTGTCATAAATATATATGCATACGCGCGAAAGCTGGGTTCGACTCCCAGCCAGGGAGATAAATTTTTTGGTCCGTCCGGTCCGAGACTTCCTTGAAGTACAACGACGCTAGTTGGTTCCTCTCTCTCTCTTTCTATCAATCTTAACCAAAGCAAAAGCAGGAAGAGTCATGATACGACGTAAATCCATTCAGATTCCTTTCCTTCTTCGAACCAGAATAAAAAGCATCCACCGATTGCAACATACCTCCACTGCTGTGAATCCTCGAACAGTACCACGCGTGACAGACAACTGCGACGTGCTTATAGTCGGAGCTGGACCATCTGGCTTAGCAGCTGCGATACGCTTAAAACAACTTGAACGAGAATCCAAATCTCGAGAATTACGCGTTGTAGTACTTGAAAAGGGGACTGAAGTCGGATCACACATTCTTTCTGGGTGTGTTCTGGAACCACGAGCGTTATACGACCTTCTCGGCGCCGACCCGGGCTTATACGCCTCCCAATACGGGTGTGGAGAACCCCCGCTGGGTCAGGTAGCTGGGAAAAGTGAAATGCTGTGGTTAACGGGTGATAGTAAAAGGATGATTCCAGGCAGGAATGCGATTAAAATTCCACATCCACCGCAGATGAATAATGAAGGGAATTATATAATTTCATTGAGTGCCTTTACGCGGTGGTTGGCGAGAGTCGCGGAAGAGTATTATGGAGTAGAAGTGTATCCTGGTTTCGCTGGAGCTGGAGTCGTTTTTAGTGATAACGAGGAGGAGAAGAAGAGTCCTTGGGCTGGCTGGAAAGGAAGGTGGGGTAAGGAAGTTACAGGCATCAAGGTCAACGACGACGTACACAAGAATATCCATACGAATGTGCCCGCCGTTCTTGGAGTCGTAACCAACTCTGTCGGAATCTCCAAATCCTTCACACCAAAACCATCTTTCGAACCAGGAATGTTCTTTCGCGCCAAAACAACATTATTAGCTGAAGGCGCACATGGGTCTTTGTCAAAAATGATTATTGGGAAATATGGATTGAGAAGGGAGAGCGAGCCACAAACGTATGGATTTGGAGTCAAGGAGGTTTGGAGAGTGGATGAAGATAACGCACATTATAATCCTGGTAAAATAACGCATACGCTTGGGTTTCCTTTGGATCTCGATACGTATGGTGGAGGGTGGATATATCATATGGATAAAGGACTTGTCAGTATTGGGCTTGTCATTGGTGCGGACTGGGAGAATCCACACAAGAGCCCGTATAAAGATTTCCAGGTACCCTCCACTTTATACTGCTTTTCTTATATTCTCATATTCGTAGATGATGAAACACCATCCATACATCCGTCAACTCCTTTCCTCTTCATCAACGAGAATAGCCTATGGTGCACGGATTCTCACTGAAGGCGGTCTTCAATCTCTTCCATTACTACATTTCCCCGGAGGTGCTTTGATTGGCGACACAGCAGGCACAGTGAACGTAGCGAAAATCAAAGGCGTACATACAGGTATGGGAATGGGAATGTTGGGTGCCAAAAGCGCTTTTGACGCTGTAATCAGTGATAATGTTGATTTATCCACATACTCTTCCTCGTTCCTAACTTCGTGGATCCACTCCGAATTACACGAAACCCGCAACCTCCGTCCATCATTCTCATTCCCTACTTTCACCAAATACCATCTCGGCATCCTCGGAGGCGTTCTCTATAGCGGTATCGACTCTCTCCTCCTTAAAGGCCGAACACCCTGGACATTCAGACATACAAAGAACGAAGAAGAGAGAATAAAGTGTATGGATGGTTCACCGAGTTTAGACTCTGTACGTACGAAATCAACATCCACCACTTCCCCTATCCCCTATCCACCTTTCCAACCACCTCTTTCCACGGATCTTCTTACCTCTGTTATGTTGACTGGGACTTCTCATGAGGAAGATCAGCCGGAACACCTCAGAGTTTTGAAGATGGGCGAATCAGAGGAAGAGGGGGGATTGGAATATCGGTTAAGCGAAATTAGAGAAGAGGAAGAAGAAAAATCGGTTGAAGAACAAACTCATGATGGGAAATACCGTGATATTAAACCTATACAACCTAAAATCCGTACCGAACCCGAACGACGCCACCACCACGTTCATATCAACGTAGGTTCATATGCGGGGTTATTAGCACACGCCTGTCCAGCAGGGGTTTATGAATACGTCGATGACGACCTTTCTAAAGACGGGAATACTCAAGGTGAAGGATGGAATGGGAAAAAATTTGTTATAAACGCACAGGTATGTATATTTTCTCCCTTTCTTACTCTTTCCGCTTTTCCCCATTCCTCTCGCTCATCATCCCCAAATTTCTCTCTCGTAGAATTGCATTCATTGTAAACTCTGCGATGTCAAAGTTCCAACTCAGGATATAACTTGGACCGTTCCAGAGGGAGGAGGTGGGCCAAAGTATAGTATGTTCTTGTTCTTTTGTTTTGAGTCTCTTTTCTTTCTTTTTTCTTCGTCCTCTCCCTCTCTTTCTCTTCCATTCTATTCTCTTCTATTCATCCCATCTCTGACTAACCCTTTAACCAAACCCAACCCCTTCGCACAGCCGTAACTTGAACCCCTTCGATACTACGGAATAGGAAACTACAAAACTACAAAACTAGGAAAAACGAAGGTACTATAAACGAAACACAAGCTGGAACGTCGAGAAACGTTAAAGAAGCTCATACAAAGCTCCAGAAATCCGTATCTTTAACCTGCACCATTATCGCATTCCTACCTTTCATATTCCTTCTAGTTCTTCCGTAACCCTGCATCTGCTACAGAACATAGGACATAGGTGCATAGGTTATATGTAGATAGGATGGAAATAATACAGGAAAGCAATAAAATGACAAGAGTGGGATTTGAACCCACGCGGACATTCGCCCATGAGAAATGGAAGTTCAACTTTGAACTTGAGTCACACGCCTTAACCACTCGGCCATCTTGCCATAATGAGTCATCAGTATATCTCACGTGGTAGAAACAAATTCATTTTTGAAAACAAAAAAAAGATCCTAGAAAACAGGAAGGAAAATGAGGGAGGAGGCAACTATATTCATTAGCTTCTCGAAAAGCCCTCTCAAAAGAGCCCTTAAGTTCAAGCAGGAGGACAGAAGGTGATAGTATAATCAGCATTCAACGAATCTGCGCAAGTCCACAACGCGCTCTGGCTTGCCTCGTCGTAGGCGTATGCGTAGGCGTCTGGGCATGCATCCTCTGTGGAATAAAAATATTGTTAGAACGAACTTTAACGTCGGGGCTGAACTATGAGTTGAATGGGAGGGGGGGGCGGAGAAGGAGGGTAGAAGAGTAACGATCACGCCGGAAGGCAAGGCGTCGAACAACATGAACACGTACTGAAATAAGTATAATACTCCACACCAGAAGCAGGACACGTTGCCGGAGTATCGTATTGACCTGAACAGCAGTTGGGGGAATTTTCTGGAAATGAGATTTCGTAAGTCATCATTCATATGTATTCTGTAAAATTCATCAAAAAAAAAAACGGAGAATTCGAACTCACGTTGGTCACCGTCGAGGTTTGCGTCCTACAATAATATGAACGAAACAAACAAATGAAATAATGTTAGTTAGTATATTACTGGCTTAATGATTCGAACTAGATGAATAGGAAGACAACTCACACAAGCGGATTTACATCCAACAGGGAAGCCAGTTGAGTCGTATGGACCAGCAAGGGGAGCGGGGCCTAAATAGATAAAACATTAATTGGCGGCCATGCAACCAAAGTCATCGATTGACACACTCACAGTCGGGACCAAGATCCACAGCACATATGGGTGCAGGACAGCCCACGTTATTGGTGACACTAAGAAGAGATAGAGTAATGAGCGCTGAGCGAAGATACTTGTATTGAGACAGATGAGTCAACGTACCTTATTGGAAGGTTGTATCCATCGACGAAGGAGACTGGCATGCAAGATTAAACCGACATGGACTTGAGAGAGAGAGGGAGGAAACACCTACTATCGTAGTAATCCAAGGCCCCAGCACCGGAGAGTGTGAACTCTGCGAGTGAGGCGGGGGGAACGCCCTGCAGGATATATGAATGGAAGTGATAAGAGGGAGGAGGGAATGTATATAAAGGAGGGATATAACAGTAGGACGAGGAGGGGAGAGGAGAGATGAAAAAGGAAAAAGAACAATGAGAAGAGGAATGAGAAGAAAAAAGAGCAATCATCATCATCATCAATACTTCTTCAACTTGATTAAATCAAACGGACAAACGCACAGTACCAGTTGTAGGATCACAAACCAAACCTCCATTGCATCCACCATCAAGACACGAGTTAGGTCCCGGGTTGGTGCTGAAATCACAGTCTCTTCGGGCCTGTGCATATCGTGATTAGTGATGCTTTACAACAGCACACACCAACTTGTGCCGTGACGGAACATTGACTTGGGTAAAATATATACAATGAAGCGACTTACCCAGATACGCCCAGCCTGCCAATTATCGGGAACGGAGAAACTGACGGCGGTATAGGCCCCGGCTTCCCAGCTGGATACATATAGTAGTGATAGTGATGGTACATGTTATAAATGCACACATGGAAACGCATGGAGACGCATTGTCATGAGGGAGAGGGAATGAAGAACGATATTGTTTGGATATGGATCCGGATTGGATGTAGACAGAGTGAGTAGCATGAGTTAAACGATAAATCATTCCGTACCATATCATGATTTACTTACCCAGTCGTATAATCGGGAGCAATTGCAGGGTTGGCAGTGAACATCTGAGGGTATCAAAAGATATAGCCATCCACCAGTGAGAAGACAACAAAAAGGGGTGAAAACGGAAAGACGAAGAACAAGAAGAAGAAGATATGGAAGACGCGGGTCAGGTGTTAAAAAAGGCGGAAGAAACGAAAGAAGCAGAAAATCAGTTTAGCTGGCAGAAGGTTCGAGACACAGAAAGTCAACGCGTACCGCAGGCCTAAGAAACAAAGAAGTCAGCTATCATCGTCTGCAGCGCTTAGGCCCCAAAGATCAACTCACCAGATTGTGAACGGACATCCATTGTAAACCTATGAGTGAGAATCCGACTCAACACAACTGCTTCGGCAATATTCAACCGAAACATGAATACTCACCGTAAATGTCCTCGCAGCGTCAACGGTAGAGACGAAACCGGCCGAAATAACAGAGGCAGCAACAATAAACTTCATGATTCGAAGCAAGTTGGGGAGATCAGACAAAACGATGTACTAGGGGGACGTTCAATCGACTTGAGGGGGGGTTGTGTGGTTCGTTGCTTGAAGATGAAAGTTGAGCGTTGAGCTGAGGTCGAGAGGAACCAGAAGTTAACTCCTTGAGGGTTGGGGTCTGTTCTCTCAGTAGAATCATGTTTTTATACCATTCCCTACTCGGAATCATCCTCGTCATCATCATCGAAATTCAAATCAAAAGAAGAGAATATACCATACCATATGTATTCCTAACGTACCAGGTCCGGTCACGCTATCCACAACTATCCCCCTCCCTACTTGAAACTTCAAAAAGAACGGTACCTCGAAACGTCGAACTGTCCGGAACCTCTTGGGCCTCTTTGGAATCTCCTCTCTATGAATTAGATTTTGAAAAATTGTATTCATTTCATTTCATCTGTGCAAAGAAAAATAAACACCTGCCGTATTCCTGCCGTTGGGTCTGGTTGGATCCGTTGCTGGGGAATCAGCAAAGAAATCACAAGTTGATTCTCCCCACTTCGGCACTAGAAGCAGAGGGAAGCAGGTAGCAGATGATTCTCAGAGCTTATGGTTGTCGGTGCCGTATATTTACTAGTTCCATTAGTCAAGGACTAACCCAATTTTTCTTACAATGAAGAGGAGCGACCAGAGTGTTGAGTGTTGAGGTCTTGAAGAGTTCAGATCCACCTGGGTGATCTGCGACGGATACTAAGACTGCTTGTAGTTTCCTCAACTCTAGCCCTCCAAGTTCAAAACGCGTAGGGGCTAGATTTGAAAGTTGTGTATATGATGCCCCATCTCCGTTGCCTTTGTTCGTTCCTGGTGTTCGCCATCCGTCCGTCCGACTCCATCGACATCATCGTTCCACATTTATTGATACACTCCTATTGAGACTATAAGCCACAGCACAAGGAGCAATAAAAGAGAGCGAACGTGTGAGTGTAAATACGTCTATCACATTGAGTAAACCTTGTGCAAGCACCACGTTGGTTTTTAACAACAAAGGACGGGAGGTCATTTGTGAGCATTGAAGACGGTATAGATGATATTCAAAGAATGTATCACCATTTGACTTCTCCATCCGTACCACCCAAAGTCCACCTGCAACCATCCGCTGCCACCAAACTACCATCTGCTACAGATCAACTACCCGTAGTACTATTTGTGGCTGCGATCCGGCTTGTTGGACGTACCGGAAATATAATTGGACTTGGTTACCCTGCGTCCTCTGTATCTTGCTGCGTTTCTTGCCCAGCTCGCTCAAACAGTACGAAAATCATAAATGATATTGTATTCTAAAAAGGCTCACCTTCACCTCACATTAGTGACAACTAAGTAGTAGCGTGTCCCAGTCTTGTGTACCATAAGTTGTGAAAGGCCTGGATGGAAGAACGCTTGAGAAGTTTGGTCAAAAGGTCATGAAACTTTGGAAGAGCAAGATCTACTGTATATTGGATACTTCAGTACAATATGGTATGTCCGCATGGGATGAATAGGCTATGATCTGCCTGAACGACGACAGAAAACGACTGGGGGGGGAGGGAAAGTCCATGAAGACAGAGTTAGCATAAGAAAACAGCTGAGTACAATGCGTAGTAAAATGTCTATGGTAGGTAGAGTATATCAGATGGTCATCACTCGTAAAGCGTTGAACGTTTCAATGGTCCATTAAATACTGTTGCAGAGCGAACAGTTAAGTTGAAGAGTCGTCCGGAAGATGGCAGCTACATAGAAGGAAGATCGTGAGCAAACAGGTTTGGATGGTACATCGACTGTACTCACGTATAGCGATTAACGCTACGAAGATAACGATGACAACAACATAGATAATACCGTATTTAATAATCTTGACAACCGAGTTAGCAATGCAGCACATGTGAGTAGAAATATCACCTACTATCCAACGACGTGTTCGTTTTTGTTTGATGGAATACAATGGTGCCCGGATTTGCTTCGAGGGACGCAGCCAAACTGTGAAGGTGTATCAGTCAGCATGTTCAACGATTATAGAAAAGATCATACATAACAATGTGGCATGTACACGATCAAAGTAGGGAATGAGTATAGGAGGAGTCATCATGAACAATAAGACGTGTCCAACGATTAAATCTGAACTCCATAGACAAAGTTCGATAGTCTTGACCACGAATTCACGAGCAGGCTGAGACATGACATGGGCCCCAAGACCCCGTCCGTACCATCTTCCAGTCCACCAGGCACGATTTGTTTCGTCATGCTTGAACTCTCGCGAAAGGAAAACAGCGATGAGAACTTTATGAACAGCCCGCTGAATTGCGATGACGGTGATGAGTCCGAGGACGGCGTGGGACACGTCCCAAAGTTCGAGGAACCACTGAATGTAGATTAGTAAAAGTCAAACAATTTGAGTATGAGCACTTACCAGGAACTCGAAGAATCCAATCATACCCAACGCGCCGAGAACGTGAGCTATGAAAGCCATCACGGAACCGAACATTGGGAAGAGGGGGTCCAACATTGGGCCGAGGAACAAAGAGATCAAGAACAGCGTCAATAGCACAGCAGCGTTCCAAACGATAGGTCCCAACGATATGACAGCGATACGAATCAACGGCGAAGGTGGTTGTGTGCCATTCACAGGGAAGGACTTCACGAACATATACGCAATGATGAAAAGGATTGCCATCACGATAGGGAAAATAACTTCTGAGAAAAGGACTGCTCTCCAAGTCGCACGAGGAACATCGCCAGAAAGC